TTGATTACAACGAACAGCCATTCCACCGAGTACTTCCTGTCGTAACAAAATTATACCGTTGAAGCAATTAAAAAGATATGGTGCTGGAATGAATAACAACCTCAAGTACTTTTGTCTTTAAATGAGGCTTGAGTAGGCCTCAGCATGCCAGCAATCACTGGTGTTCAGTGTGTCTAGCAAGGGTGAAGAAAAATATATAGTGCACAGAGAAATTGAGGTTACAGGGTCCCTGCAGTGTGGTTACCAAGTAACTGTTATTTTCAATACAGTTTCCATCCTTATACTCAATCATCTGAAATGTCTGTCTCCCCAATTTCTCTGCAAGAGTTTATTAAGTTCATTTTATATAGGCTTTCCTGATACTGGGATATACTATATGATTTACTTTTATTTTTGCAAAAATCTTGAGTGCTAATTCAGATAGCATTCCAGTTTATAAATAAAACTTACTAGAAATAACTGTGATGATTATAAAAAAAATATTAGCAGTGAGGACATTACCTTTCAAAAACAATTGAAAAGGTACACTGCCTGCTATTCTACATTTTTTTTCAAATGCCTGTATGCTAGTCTGTTCAATATAATGTCAATCATTTTTGCAAGACAATATGATGCAGCTATTCTAATATGAAAAAAAAATATATATAAAAAAGACTAGGTCAAAATCAAGAATATGAAAAACTGGTTTACAAATTGCAAAATTTGCAGAAAATAGATTTCTGTAATGTCAAATTTGGCTATAATTTCATATATAAAACTCTATTCATCAAAAAATTATCACATATTTTATTTCAATATAGCATTCATCTATATAAATGAACCTTACTAGTTGATATTATGAGTGCATACCACATGCCAGGATTGCAATGCAATAAACAAAGTCAGATGCCGTGACTCCACCACATAAGTTATTAAAGACAATCAAGTTTTTTATTTCATAATCCATTCTAACTACAAACACAGTAAAGTTTAAAAATAAAAGTTATAATGAATAAATAAATATTTAATATAATCACTATCTACAAGTACTGCAAATTGTCAGTACTATGTGGTTATCTATTCAGAGATGGTACAACATACAAGTCTCACAATCACAACATAAAAAACCCAATAACATGGAAGACAGGACTTATGGGGGCAAAAAAAATGAGAACCTTTACTGTACCTTTTGGCTTTCCAAGACCACGAACTACGACTAAAATAAGAATAAAATGGAGTTACTGGACTGACAGGATCTGTGGCACAATAAAATTCCACTTTGAATTATATGAAATCTGTCTCTATTCTTTTTTTTTTTGTCTTTAATTATATTATATTGGCAATACAAATGCCTCTTCTGTTAAAACACTAATAAGTAAATAAAATCAAATCTGCATTTGCATCCACATACATTCACTGTTTTTTCTTCCTCTTCAGACTAAAAAAAATAACCAAGCTTACAAACTTTGAACTCCGAAAAATACTTCAGGATTTATAAAATGCCTTTATATAGCAGATCTATACGAGTCAAGTATCACGTAAGCTTCATAATTCTTGTTGTTCTATGTGGTATATCTCATGACATTCAATGCAGTCACATACTGTTTTCTTGGCTATATTTAAGCATTACAAACATCAATAAGGGCACATCATTACTGAGTGACTATTCTAAATTATTTGCCTGTTGAATGACGAAGGGTCAATAGCAGCTATGGGGCAACATACAACTGCATAAAGGCCAAATCACACTAGCACATTTTTGGCTGAGGGTTGGCAGTATTGCCATGGTCCAAAATTGTAGAAGGCCTATGTGGGCACCTGGGATACACTTGTAAGAAACTTGTAATCTGTGATAGAGCAATGTTTGAGTGGGGAAAGAGAAAAGCATTTCTCCTTTACTTTTTTTTACTCTGCTTCTACCTTTAACAGTTCATAACACTGCCAATAATGAAAGCATCCATTTATTTATTTATTGCTTGCTTGCTTGCTCGCTTATAGCTACTTTGTTCCTTGGAAAAGAGCCTAACTGCTCCAACACAGGTCAGATCAGTAGGCTCCTGTGCTAGAAAGACAGCATTGCATTGCTTCTGCATGAAGAATGGATGTTCTGGGTGGGGGGAAAATGTGCTAGTGTGATATGTGACAAATCTTTGCTCCATTATGATGGATGACAATACATATTACTATGACAACAAATGGACTAAACAACAACATTTAACATCATGTCCTTCAAAG